CCTCCCGGCGCCAGAGGCGGCTACATATCGAGGAATGGGCCCCTCGGTGGGGCCGAAACCAGCTGCACGCAGCAAGTTTCGTAGCCCTCCCCTTTTCCCAATCCCCCCCTTTCGTCCGGCCCGAGAGATGCTCGTGCAAGGCAGCTCGGGCGCACGAAGCCGCCCGCGGATGCATGGAACAACAAATGACCTAGGCATAAACTTTCAAGCTCCGCTTTGGATCTGCACTGGGCCCCCTTCCCCGGACACGCGGGGCGCGCCAGGGAGGCTCCAGCGCCCTGCCCTGTCCCAATCCCCCCCTTTCGCAACCCGTGGGATTGGATGGATCTCGCCGTGCGCGCGCGGAGACGGGCGCGTGTGACCCCCACGGCACATGACCGTGGCAGCGCTGGCGGGCGGCGCGCCCGCGGTCGAGTGGTCTCGACGTGCGCGCACGCGCGGCCCCCGCGCGGCCTCGTGGACAGCACGGCACGCACGCCGCACGGTCGTGGCATGACCTCAGGGACACGCGCGCGCACCGAAATCCGCGTATTGCGAATAATGCCACGTGACAGATATTGCAGATCGTCGCCCAATGCGAGTAGCCACCAAGGCAGCGCGAGGCGCAGCTCCCGAGTCATGGCCGGGCATCTGCGAAGGGTCTGTGCAAATAATGGCGTATGACCTCAGCGACACGCGCGCGCACCGAAATCGGCGCATTGCAAATCATGCTGCGGGACAGATATTACAGATCGTCGCCCAATGCGGGTAGCCAGTAGCCACCAACGCAGCGCGAGGCGCAGCTCCTCAGTCATGGCAGGGCATCTGCGATGCGCCTGTGCAAATAATGATACATGACCTCAGCGACACGCGCGCGCACCGAAATCCGCGTATTGCGAATAATGCCACGTGACAGATATTGCAGATCGTCGCCCAATGCGAGTAGCCACCAAGGCAGCGCGAGGCGCAGCTCCCGAGTCATGGCCGGGCATCTGCGATGCGCCTGCGCAAATAATGATACATGACCTCAGCGAAATGCGCGCGCGCACCGAAATCGGCGTACTGCAAAGAATGATACGTGACAGAGATTGATTCACATGTTCGATCGGCTGCATCCGCATGAGTGTTGCAGCGTGTTGCAGCGCTGTTCACTCAGACAGGCAACGCCAGCGCTCTAGCCGCACGGCGCCCACACGAGCACAGCACTCTTGGGCACCTCGGCCGCATCCGCTGCATCCCCGTTTAGGTTACAGCATTGCTCTCCCAGGCAGCCAACGCCTGCTCATTGCCGCATTGCGCAGTCCCCCCCCCAAAAAAAAACAGCACTGCTGGGCACCATGGCAGCATCCGCTGGACCCTCGTGCGGGTTAGAACATTGCCCCCACGGTCGGCAACGCGTGCGCCCTGGCCGCACTGCACCCACCCTGACACAACACTGTCGGGCACCATGGCTGCATCAGCTGCAGCCCCGAGTGGGCTACAGCACTGCTCCTCCCGGGCAGGCAACGCTTGGCGCTCTGGCCACGCTGCGCCCGCCCGAAAACAGCACCGCTTGGCACCACGGCTGCCCCCGCTGCATCGCCCTGTGGGCGAGCATGAGCATAGGATTGAACGTATAAGCATGCGAGCGAGAGGGAGAGAGAGAGAGAGAGATATATATATATATATATATATATATTTATTTAAAAAATGGGAGAGGGAGGGAGAGGGAGAGAAAGAGAGAGAGAGAGAGAGAAATATAGGGAGAGGGAGGGAGAGGCAGGGGGGGAGGGAGAGGGAGAGAGAAAGAGAGCGAGCCGGAAGGGATGAGCGAGGAGGCGCGCACGTGCACGGCGGACGGACGCAGCGGCCGCCCCGCACGCGAGCCGCGGCCATGCCCTGGGCGGAGGCCCCGGCACGGCGGGCGGAGGCGCACGAGCCTTCCGGGTGCAAAAGGCCCGCGCGGGAGCACGGGCGGGGCGGGGGGGGGCCCGGCGGAGCCCACGAGGCACCAGCTGGCGAGGGGAGGATCTGGCGGGCGGCTCGCGGCTCGGCCGGGGGGCGGCCCACAGCGCAGGTGCGGCTCCCAGGCAGAGCGAGGCGCAGCGAAAAAAGTTCAACGCGCAGTGTTGCGCGCGTCCTCGCCCCCGCGAGAACACGGGAGAACACGGGGGGGGGGCAGGCTCCCGGCGGGCCTGTCGTGCCACTCTGCGATGGTGGCCGCGGGGCGAGCGAGCGAGAACTGCAGCAGGCGGCGCGCGATAAAAAAAACACAAAGATCAAAAAAAAACGCAAACACAAAAAAACAAAAGAAACAAAACAAAAAAAAGGGGCGCCGCGACGCCGAACGGTGGCGCTGCCTGGTGCTGTTCGGGCGCCAGGCAGGCAGTCGGACGGACAGCCGCGCAGAGGGCACCTATACGCGGGTGCAGCGGGTGGGCGCCGGTGGGCGCCGATGTTGGCCTCCGACTCTGGAGTCGGGGCTCTGAGCAGCCGGGGTCCGAAGAACGAGATCGAGTGTCAGAGCCGGCGTCGGAGAGAACGCAGGGGCCGAAGAGGTAAAAGCCGAAGTCGGAGAGACGACAGCGGTGAAGCGAAGCCGGAGTCGGAAAGATACGAGCTGGACGTGGCTCGGGCGCCACAATCTGCCAAGTCCCATAATGCTGCCTATGGGGTCACACTGCTCCGCGATCGGTCACGCGAGGCCCGCTGCGGCAACTGAAGCCGCTGAAACCACGAGTCCATGACAGTGAGCCTGGCGCATGACTCGTGCGGAACTGTTACTTTCGTGTGGATGTCTGCTCCCAGCATACCTCCGACAGCGAATGCTGCGCCCCTTGAGTGCTTCGCGTGCACGTTCAGGTACGACAGGTCATTGGTGTTGCGCTCTTGGGCGGCTTCCAGTTCGACCTTACCCAACGCAGCTCATTCTAGAATGCCGAACTGACGCTGCGATGCAATGTAATGACACACTTCAACTCATATTGCTTCGTGCAAAGACCCAAAATCCTTACCCCCTTGAAGAACATATCTGCGCATTGCCCGCCCAATTGGCGAACATAGGCCTGCAGGCGAAGCAAAGCGTCTTCGGCTCTCTGGCCACGAGGGGTGTTAATCCAGACATGCTCGCCCACCTTCATCGTTCACCATAGATGTTCTCAGGTGGTGATCGCCCATCACAGAAACCGAACCTGGAGCGGGGCTCGGCGTCGGCACAAATGAGGAACCGCCGTGACCAGCGACGACGTCTGCTGCCTGCGAAGATGTCATGCTTACAACGATGACAAATGAAATGACCCGTCGATATTGACGAAATGCACGTCGAGCATGACGCCTCCGCGACTGAAATGCACTTCGCCTAATCGAAATCGACGTGAACCCCAAGGACGTCTTCCATCGTACTTCCATCCACCTGCACACGTTCCGCGGCCGTGCGAAGCCCGATCTGTCATCATTGCCGCGTGGTACAAAAGACCGTTGCGAGGGTCTAAAAGGTACTATCCCTCTACGCGGTCGATGAAGCCGGCCAGCGGTTGCGTCGGCCGCCCTCCTCCGAACCGCGCACGGATACAGGGCGGACCAATGTCAGTGATCTTCGTGTACGTGTCGTGGACCCCGTTTTTCATCACCTCGTCTGCACACGCAATCTGTCACTGCGCGCGTCGCCAAACGCTGAAATCCCACCAACCCTCTGGGCGACAGGTGGTCTAACAATGTCTTTCGCTCCTCTTCCACAACCCCCCCCTTCCCCTTCGGGAAGGGGTTTACCAGTGCTCCTCATTAATATACGCCCCCTCGCCCACCCGGCCGGCGGCCAACCAGGAACCATGCCGACCCCGTGCGGCACCCCCCCCACCATCCTTGTCAAAAACAATACAAAACGCACTCTGCATCCACATGTCGAGCATGCGCAGCCAACCCGATGCGCTCCCCCCACCATCCCTGTCAAGAAACAATGCAAAGTAAGCTTTGGGGCAACGTCTTGAGTTATGTTCGTGAGGCCCGCGAGCACTGTGTATTGTTTTTTGACAGGGGCGGCGTTGGTCTCAGCATATTCCCTGCTGCGCGCAGGGTTACCATCCCTGACCAAAAATAATGCACAAAGCACCTTGCGGCTAAATCTGGATCATGCGCGGCCACCCCGCGATCACTGTCAAGTGTTTTTTGGCAGGGACGGCGGGGGTGGTGGCGCGTGGCCTGCTGTGCGCAGGCCCACTAGACACAATGATGGGCATTGGTTTTCGAAAAGGATGGTGGTGGCCGACATGTTTCCCGATATGTGCTGTCACGTGCGCAGGCGCACCTGACGCACTCTGCACGTGCCCCGAACGTGGAGCACCTGGCGCTGCTGGAGTCTGCGGCACACCTGGCGCACTCCGAGCACGTGGCGCATCTGGCGCGCCAGGCGTGCCTGGCACGCTCGGGCCCCAGGGGTGCCTGGCACGCGTGTCGGACCTCGCCCAAGCGTCGCGCTCCTGGGGTCGGCTTTGGTTCCCAGTAGCTTCCCATCCAGAGACGACTGCTGAATATGCTCAGGCTCGGGTGTTACTTATGTGCTGGGAGGGCGGGTGCGAGTGAGCTAGACGGCTTGCGGGCGGGTGGGTAGCTTGACACCTCCCCCTACCCCCTCCCCTGGACCTGGACAGGGGGGGGGGGGGGGGGCGAGGTGTCAGAGGGTTCTTGTTCGCCCAAGATGGTCCCAAGAGGGCTTCAGAGAGCCCAAGATAGCCTCCAAGATCGCTCAAGATAACCCAGCATGGCTCAAGATAACTAGCTAACAACATGCCTCCAAGAGGCCCCAAGAGGGCCACCAGACGGTTCCAGGTGATTTCGGCGACCCCACAGGACCTCCCCGAGAAGCCAAAATCAGTCAAAAACCTTACGAAAATCACGGATGTCCACCTTCTCGCCTTTTCGCTTCCGATTCGCTTCTGAGGCCTCAAGATGGCCCTAAGATGGCCCAAGAGAGCTCCAAGAAGGGCCCAAGAGGCCCCCAAGACTGCCCCAAGAGCGCCCAAGATCGCCCCAAGAGCGGCCCAAGAGCGCCCCAAGAGCGCCCCAAGAGGCTATTTCGATGGCCCCAGAGGGGGGAGGCAATTCGAGAATCCCCCCTCCTTTGATCGATGGACTTCAAAATGGCCCCAGAAGGCGCTCCATAGCCCCCAAGAGGGCCCCAAGAGAGCACCAAGAGAGCCCCAAGGGGGCCCCACGAGGGCCCCAAGAGGGCCCCAAGGCGCCCCAAAAGAGCCCCACAAGAGCCCCTAGAGGACCCCAAGACCCCCCAATGAGCCCCAGGAGGGCCCCAAGATGCCCCAAAAGAACTCCAAGAGGACTCCGATATCCCCCAATACAGCCCCGCAGCTCCAAGAAGGCCTCCAATGTTCCAAGATAGCCTCCAAGATGGCTCAACACCCTCCTTCCTCTCCTTTCCTTACTTGCTCTGCTTCACTATGTGTGTCTCTTCGTCCCTTCCCCCGTCAGCTCCCATGGGCAGGGCTCCTGAATGGGCTGGTGGGGATTCGCGAAGCGTACACAATTGGAGGGGGAAGGTGGGGGCGAGGGAGGGGTAGAAAGAACTTGCTTTTGATTTCGAGGAGGGCTGTAGCACCCTTCTGCGGCATTAATCTATCGGTGATGGTCCCGAGGCCCGCAACCCTAGGGGAACGAAGAATGACATAAGCATGTAGGCTCGGAGGTCCGCGCGGATTTCTCGGATCGGCGCTGGACCCCCCTTGCTGGCGCGCGGAGCGCGCCAGGGGCGGCGCCAGAGGCGCCGCCAGGAGGGTCCAGCGCCGATCTGAGGAATCCGCGCGGACCTCAGAATTTGTATGCCTATGTTATTGTTCGTTCCCCGTGCATTGTTCGATTTTGTGCGTGCATTGCTTCGCTCGGTCATCCCGGATGTTCCTCGATGGTCCTCGCCGTCAAATCCCCTACATCTGGCGAAAGCGTCCGTTGAGAAAACGCTACAACGCCTGGATCTCAGGGTCTCCTCCGAGCGCCCAGCCCCCTCAGTCGAAGCAAGGTGAGTCGACGCGAAACGGCAGCTCCAACTGGGCCCCAAGATCCCTCTGGGCCCCTGGAGGTCCAAACGCACCCAGTCTTCCGAGCTGCGCCCAGCCGTGGCGACGAAGGGGCCGCAACCACTGCTGTCTCGACTCGCCCTCCTCTGACTCAGGATCCCCTCCAGTCGGGCGTCCCCTAACCCGGGCCAACGCAAACCCGGATCGGCCACACTTTGCAGGATCCCACAAGATCCTCCCGGATCCTGCAGGACCCTGCCGGCCAGCCCGGGCCAATGCAACCCTGGCCTTGCGGGATCCTGAAAGATCCGGCGCTCTGGCTGACCTGGGGAAACCAGCAGTCACCGATACCGCTACTGTCCAGACCTCTCCCGGGGTGCGTTCGGGCCAGGACTTCGAGGCGAATCCCGCGGTGGCGACAAAGGCCGCCCAGGAGGTCAAAAAAAGCAAACCGAGGGAAAGATATCAATATGGGCACCTTCCCTGAAATCCGACGTTGCCAAAACAAATGCAGCATCGTAAAAAATCACGGCTGGACCCCTGGTCCACGTCTGCTTGCCCCAATTTTCGGGCCGGATCGATCTGTGAGGGTCCCCGGGCCCGACCTGGAGCGAAAACGCATGGCTCGAAAAAATGAGCCGTCAGGATCTCACGGCTTTCCTCCCTCTCCCTCCCTCCCTCCCTCCTCATCCTCCTCATCCTCCTCCTCCTCCTCCTCCTCCTCATCCTCCTCCTCCTCCTCGTGCTCCCTGCTCCTCCTCCTCCTCCCTCTCCTCCTCCTCCTCCCCCTCCTCCTCCCCCTCCTCCTCCCCCTCCCCTGGAGGGCATGGTGCATCCCCCTCCCGCGGCCACTGCTGCCCGCCGCCGGCCTTCTTGCAGAGGGCGGCCAGCAGCCAGCCCGCGGCGCCGCGCACCGGCAGCGCGCCCAGCCACGCGGCCGTCGACCGCCACGCCCCGCGCGGGGCGAGCGGCACGGCCGCGGCCTCCTCGCTCGCCGCGGCGAGCCTCGCGGCAGGATATCGCCATCGCTCGGACGCCCATGCCCCGTGCTCTGTTCGGTTTTTAGGGTAACGAAGAATGACATATAAGCATGCAGACTCGGAGGTCCGCGCGGAATTCTCGGATCGGCGCTGGATCCCCCTCCCTGGCGCGCGGAGCGCGCCAGGGGCGTTGTTCGGCGAGTCATTCTTCTTTCCCCGTTCGATTTTGTGCGTGCATTGCTTCGCTCGGTCATCCTGGATGTTCCTCGATGGTCGTCACCGAAAAATGTACACGTCCGAGCGATGACAAGCAAGACGTGACCGCGTCGCGAAAAAAATCGCGGAGGGCCCCTTTTGTTGGCAGCGTTCGAGTTCAAGGGGCCCTCGCCGGGCCCACCGAACCCGTGGTGAACTACCAAAGAAACGACGGCCCCTTCGTTGGCAATTTGTTCGGGGTTCTAGGAGCCCTCGCCAGGCCTCGGAAGCGTCAGAAACCAACTCATGAGTCGGGACCTTCTGGGAGCCCCGCGGTGAAAGTAAACAAGGCATCGCATGCCTAGAGAACTACCACCAGATTGCTCTTATCAGCGGCGAGGATGGGGGGGAAGGGAGAAGGAGAAGGCCTTCTCAGAAGGCTCGGAAGTCCCCCAGCCTTCTGAGATGTTTTCTACACCTTCCCCGAACGCACAGAAAAGCCTGGCCGCCTTCTGACAAGGCCTTCTCCTTCTGACTTCCCCCCCTCGCTCGCCGCCGATTTTACATTATCCCAGCGAAGAAACCAAACAGGTGCAGTTGTGAATACCGTCGTTGTGAGACTTGCCGTGGGTGAAGCTCCCAATAAGCACAAGGCGCGCGAAGGGTGCGCCGCAATGGGGCGGGGCCGCCATGCGGGCGCTGCCGCTGGGGCCGTCGGTGGAGCTCCCTATGGGGCCACGAAACGTGTGAGGGCTGTGCTAGTGTGGACGGGGGGCGCCATGCTAACCAGGCCGCTGGGGCCTTCGGCGGAGCCACGAAAAGTGTGAGGGCTGTGCCAATGTGAGGGGGGGGCGGCATGCGAGCCATGCCATTGGGGCCTTCGGTGGAGCTCCCTATGGGGCCACGAAGAGCGTGAGGGCTGTGCCAAAAGGAGGGGGGGCGGCATGCGAAACATGCCACTGGGGCCTTCGGTCGGTGGCGCTCCCAATGGGGCCACGGAACGTATGAGGGCTGTGCCAGTGTGGACGGGGGACGCCATGCGAACCAGGCCACTGGGGCCTTCGGTGGAGCTCCATATGGGGCCACGAAACGTGTTAGGGCTGTACCAATGTAGAGGGGGGCGCCATGCGAACCATGCCACTGGGGCCTTCGGAGGAGCTCCCTATGGGGCAACGCAACTTGTGAGATCTGTGCCAAAGTGGAGGGGCGGGCGACATGCGAGCCATGCCACTGGGGCCTTCGGTGGAGCTCCCTATGGGGCCACGAAGAGTGTGCGAGCTGTGCCAATGTGGAGGAGAGACGCCATGCGACTTGGCCACTGAGGCCTTCGGTGGAGCTCCAGACGGGACCACGAAACGTGTGAGGGCTGTGCCACTGTGGAGGGGAGTCGGCATGCGAACCATGCCACTGGGGCCTTCGGTGGAGCTCCCTCTGGGTCCGCTTAACCTGTGAGGGCTTTGCCAATGTGGACGGGGGGCAGGCGAACCATGCCATTTGAGCCTTCGGTGGAGCTCCCTATGAGGCCACGAAACGTGTGAGGGTTGTGCCTAATTGGAGGAGGGGCGGCAAGCGAAACATGCCACTGGGGCCTTCAGTGGAGCTCCCTATGGGGCCACCAAACGTATGAGGGCTGTGCCAAAGAGGAGGGGGGGCGGCATGCGAGCCATGCCACTGGCGCCTTGGGTGGAGCTCCATATGGGGCCACGCAACTTGTGAGGGCTGTGACAGTGTGAAGGGGGGCGCCTTGCGAAACATGCCACTGGGGCCTTCAGTGGAGCTCCATGTTGGGCCACGAAACGTGTGAGGGCTGTGCCAATGTGGAGGGGGGGCGGCATGTGAAACATGCCACTGGGGCCTTCGGTGGCGCTTCCTACCACGAAACGTGTGAGGGCTGTGCCAGTGTGGAAGGGGGGGCGCCATGCGAACCAGGCCACTGGGGCCTTCGGTGGAGCTCCCTATGGGGCCACGAAAAGTGTGAGGGCTGTGCCAATGTGGAGGGGGGGGCAGCAAGCGAACCATGCCACTGGGGCCTTCGGTAGAGCTCCCTATGGGAGCACGAAACGTGGGAGGGCTGTGCCTAAGTTAGCGGGTGATAGGAGGAGGAAGGAGGGAGGAGGGAGGAGGAGGAGGAGGAGGAGGAGGGGAGGAGGAGACGCGGGGACCGTCTCCGCCAAAGGAGGACCATACCTCACAGGATGGCTGAGAAGGAGGACCGTGCGCTCAGGACGTCAGCCACGAGTGACCCAACACGAGCCTCTCTCAGCCAGAGGTGTCGGGGTTCGGCAGGGACTCCCTTCAGCACAACACCTTTTCGCGAAAAACGGCCTGGGGCCAGACCCGGCGGGCGCAGGCCCGCAGGCTCTGCGCGCCGCAACACCCTCTCGAGGGCGGGCGAAGAAGGTCAACTCGTTCATCAACCTGGCAGGGTGGGGGACGTAACAGCCTCCGAAAATGCTCGTTGAGATAAGTCGAAGCAGGCCGCGGAAGACAATTCTTGGAACATTGCTAGATCGGAACGTGCGTCGGATCGAGCCGCATCGGCGCGGAGTCGAAATCGGGTCAGACTGGGTGTACCCAGATGCGCAACAGCGCCAGGCAGGCCTCGGGCCGCATCGGACCGTCGGGATACGGGGCTAGAATCAGAACGCGCCGGCCAACGTCAACCATGGAATCGGGTCGCCCAGATTGAGATGGAACCCTGTCTTGCCAGACCCCCGACGTCAGGATTTTCGCACCACGTGCACCCCCAGAGGCCTGGACCCCTTCCCGGGGACCGGCTCGTCCTCCTGAGCCGGCGTTTGGACGATCCCGGGGGGCCCAGCGGGGGCCCGGAAGAAGCGAAAACCATCAAAAAGCTGTCCGTCGTCATGTTCTCACGACGCGAGAGTAGAAGAAGAAGAAGAAGAAGAAGAAGAAGAAGAAGAAGAAACAATTAGCCAGGAGAAAACCCAACCATATGCAGCTGTGAGTACCGCAGTTTGGGGTATCGTCTTCCGTGGAGCTCCCTATGGGCCAGGAAACGCTGTACTGGGCGGGGGAAACGCATGCGAACTGCGCCACTGGGACCTTCGGTGGATATCGCTCGATCGCATCTTCCGGAGGCCGTTTTTGGGTCCAGGGCTATGAGCAAAATTACCCGGAACTTAAAATCTTGTCCCTGGGATGGGGTCGAGAGATCCAAGGGCCTTGCTCCGTGGAGAATTCCAGGGGCCTCGCGCAAGCGTCTCTTCCTCGAAATGAATCGCGGGGACGCATGTAAACCCTGCCACTGAGGCCTTCGGTGTAGCTTACCATTGGGCCACGAGTCGTGTGAGGGGTGCGCCGAACTGAATCGCGGCGACGCATGTCAACCCTGCCATTGGAGCATGGTGTGGACCTTCCTATGGGGCCACGAGGCCACGAAACGTGCGAGGGGTGTGCCGAAATGAGTCGCGAGGACACATGTAAACCCTGCCACTGGGGCCTTCGGTGGAGCTCCCTATGGGACCACGAACCGTGTGAGAGGTTTACCAAAATGCGTCGGGGGGGCGTATGTAAACCCTGCCACTGGGGCCTTCGGTGGAGCTCCCTATGAGGCCACAAACCGTGTGAGTGGTGTGGCGAAACGAGTCGCGGGGACGCATGTAAACCATGCCATTGGAGCCTTGCATGGAACTCCCTATGGGGCCACGAACCGCGTGAGGGGTGTGCCGAAATGAGTTGCGGGGCATGTAAACTGAGGCCTTCGGTGGCGCTCCCTATGGGGCCACGAAGCGTGTGAGGGGTGTGCCGACATGAATCGTGGGGACACATGTGAACCCTGCCACTGGCGCCTTCGGTGGAGCTCCATATGGGGCCACGAAACGTGTGAGAGCTGTGACGAAATGAATCGCGGGAACGCATGTAAACCCTGCCACTGGGGCCTTCGGTAGAGCTCCCTATGGGGCCATGCACCGCGTGAGGGGTATGCCGAAATGAGTCGCGGGGACGCAGGTAAACCCTGCCACTGGGGCCTTCGGTGGCGCTCCCTATGGGGCCACGAAACGTGTGAGGGGTGTGCCGAAATGAGTCGCGGGGACGCATGTAAACCCTGCCACTGGGGCCTTCGGTGGAGCTCCCTATGGTCCCACGAAACGTGTGAGGGGTGTGCCGAAATGAATCGCGGGAACGCATGTAAACCCTGGCACTGGGGCCTTCGGTGGAGCTCCCTATGGGGCCACGAACCTTGTGAGAGGTGTGCCGACATGGAGGCGGCGGTGCCATGCGAATCCTGGCACTGGGACCTTCGGTCGAGCTTCCCATGGGGCCACGAAACGTGTGAGAGGTGTGCCGAAATGAATGGCACGGACGCATGGGATGATGATGGTGATGATGATGCTGATGATGATGATGATGATGATGATGATGATGATGATGATGATGGTAATGGTGATGGTGATGGTGATGGTGGTGGTGGTGGTGGTGATGGTGATGGTGATGATGCTGATGAGGAGAAGTCTGATGATGATGACGACGATGATGGTGGTGATGATGATGATGGTGATGGTGAAGGTGATGGTGATGATGCTGGTGATAATGATTATGATGATGATGACGACGACGACGATGATGATGATAGTGATAGTGAGGATGCGGATGAGGATGGGGGTGAAGAGAAGGAGGAGGAGGACGAGGACAAGAGGTGGGACGCGGGGCGCTGTCTCTTAGAAATCCGCGCGGAGCGCCAAAAGTGTATGTTTATGGCGTTTGTTCTTCTCCGCAAGAAGCTGCAAAAACCGTCAACTGTCCGTCGTGATGTTCTCACAACGCGAGGGGCCGTCCTGGTAGGCCCATGGGGCACACCAGGATGGGGTCGGGCATGTCTTCCTACAGGGGGATTCTGGAAGAAAAATACAAGATAGTCAAACATACCAGAAGATAGTCAATAACTCGTCGATAAATCGTCCTCAGACTATGTGTCTTACTGTTCTGGGATATTGCTCCTGCAGAGGGACGTGCCCGACTTACTGGTAGGCCTATGGGGCACGCCAGGACTGGGGGAGCGAAAAATCACGTAAACAGAAACAACTCGGAGGTCCGCGCGGATTCCTCGGATCCGCGCTGGATCCCCATGGCGGCGCCTCTGGCGCCGCCCCTGGCGCGCTCCGCGCGCCAGGGAGGGGGGTCCAGCGCGGATCCAAGAGATCCGCGCGGACCTCCGAGTTTTTGGGATCATGTCATTGTCCGCTCCCCGAAGGACGCTTCACGCCACTGCCGGAGGGGAGCCCGCACAGCGCCGCGGCCGCCAGCGCCGCCAGCACCACGGCGGCGGCGGCGCCGGCGGGGGAGCCGTAGCCCCTTCGCTCGGGGCGGGGGGGCTCGTCGGTGAGAGGGCGAGGGCGGTCGGCGGTGCCTTGGGCGAGGGCGAGGTCGGCGAGGGCGAGGGCGAGGGCGAAGGCGAGGGCGAGGGAGTCGGCGAGGGGGATTCGGCGAGGGCGAGGGAGGTCGGCGAGGGCGAGGTCGGCGAGGGCGAGGGCGAGGGGCAGCGCGTGGCGCCCAAGGAGGGGGGGGGGCGCGCCCAAGAGGGGGGCGGCCCCCCGAGGGAGCGAGGAGGGCTCCCGAGAGGGCAAAGCGGGCCCCTCTCGTTGGAGGCCTTCGGCGGGGCTTCGGGACGGGGGGAGGGGGCCTTCGGTGAGGGCGAGGGCGTGCGAGAGGGCAAAGCGGGCCCCTTTCGTTGGAGGCCTTCGGCGGGGCTTCGGGACGGGGGGAGGGCCTTCGGCGAGGGCGAGGGCGTGGCTGTCGATCTCGGGAGCACCAGATGCGCACGACACACTCCCAGGGCGGTCGGCGGTGCTGGGCCAGAGGCCCAGCGCTGCGCTACGCTACCCCCGATCGGCCCGAAGGCCGGGCCAATCTAGAGCTCGGGGGGGATTCTTGGCCCGTGCCTCCGGCACCCAGGCGATTATGCAGTCGTCGTGCATCGAGTGTGCGATCGTCGTGATGCCGAGGCCCAGCGCGTGGCGCCCACAAGGGGAGGGAGGGGGCGTGAGGGGGGGCGGCCTGTCTCAAGGGAGCGACGGGGGCGTCTGAGAAGGCACGAGGCCTTCTTCAGAGGCCCCCTGGATGGGGACGGAGCAGACGGGGTCGGAGGATCGCGCCGCCACGCCGATACATCGGCGATGCATCGGCGCTGCATCGGCGGCGCCAGCGTGAAGCAAATCGGGCTCCGCATCAAGCCGCATCGTCGATGCATCGGCGATGCGGCGCGATCCTCCGACCCCACCTGCTCCGACCCCATCTGGGAGGCCTAGATTCTTGTGAAGGGGCCCTGGGACACACAAATAAATACACACATATCAAAACATTCCGTATAGTTTTCCATATTTCCTGGGTTTGTGTCTTCCCCCCCACTTCCCATAGTTTCCCATATTTTCTGGGGAATCGACGATGAATTGTGTCTGTGTATTTTTCCCTCCTAGGTTCTTGGGAGGGCCCAGGGGCTCTCTAAGAAGCCTCCTCAGACGCCGGGCGGGCGCCCAACAAAGAGGCCCAGCGCCGCCTGCTTAGAAGCCCCCCCCCCGCCCTGTCGCGCAAGCCCCTGGTGGGCGCCGCCAGAGCCCGACTCTCTCTGATGATGCGCGTGTAGTTAGTGGTTTCCTCCCCGTGCAGTTCTTCGAAGTCCGACTTCTGGGTATCGTTCTGGGGCCTCCTAGATGGGGTCAGAGTAGGTGGGGTCGGAGAATCGCGGCGCATCGCCGATACGTCGGCAATGCATCGGCGATGCATTGGCGATGCACTGGCGATGCATCGTCGACGTAAGCGATGCATCGGCGGCGCCAGCGTGAAGCAAATCGGGCTCCGCATCAAGCCGCATCGTCGATGCATCGGCGATGCGGCGCGATCCTCCGACCCCACCTGCTCCGACCCCATCTGGGAGGCCTAGAGCTGCCGGTCCCAGGAACAACAAAAAACGCACGGGGGGCGAGACACTCCCGGGGTACGGGATCGGAACCCTTGGGGCCGCGCATGGAAAACGCTATACTTGGGGACGTCCTGCGGATTGATCTGGTCAACCCATGGCGTCTCTGCTATGCTGGCTTGCGCCCAATGGGGGGCCCTCTCACTTTTTCCTGGCCCCCGGGACAATCAGAAACACCATGGGTGAAATACCAGCCTTGGGATGAAAGCCCCATGCAGGGGCCCACGGATTGACGAGTCGACCCGCCTGGGGTCCGGGGTTGGACCGCCCAGCCTCCAGCTGGTAGTTCTCTAGCCTGCTGGCGGCAATGTCCTCCTACAGGCGGGTTTTGGAAGGAAAACAGAAAAGTCAAAAAAAAATCCCAAATAGTGTAAGGGGCACGAAAAGTCGTCACCGGACGATGTTTCAACAATTCTGGAATGTTCCTCCTGTAGAGGGACGTTCTGGACGTAACTCTTGCCCTCCACGCCGACCAGCCACGGCCGGGGGAGCTGTGCCCCATCGCCCTCCCCCCCCCACCTGCGGTGGGGACCCATCGCGTCGACCACCTTCTCTCGGGCTGGGCGCCGCAGCTGCGAGAGATGGATGGGCTCGCCGGCCGGGGGTGGGGCAACAGGCCTCGGAAGAAATCAGCGAACACAGATGCCACACTCATCTGACAATATCTCCCCCCCCCAATGATCTATGTTGGCGGTGGGCTGGACGAGTTGTACTCCGACCGCAGTCTTCCCCCCCCCCCCGCGCGTGCCGACTCTGAGCACTGGGGAGCGGGGGAGCACGAAGTGTTTCCTCTGCCGAAGTACCGCAACTGCCCCCTTAAAGGCGTCGGGTGTGCGGAAGATCGGGGGCGGCCTAGAGGGAGGCGTCCAAGAAGGGAGGGCGCAAATCATGGCCTGCGGCACGAGCGCGACTCGGGGGGGCGCTGGGGGCGTCTTGAAATGAGACGAGGCGCCGTGAAATCTTGGGAGGTATCGAGGCCCGCTCCATGATATCCACCCCCCCCTAGTCATCCGGCGGAAGAAGTAGGTAGAAGCATGAAGTAGGAAGGTGTCGAAAGTAGATTGGGTTTCTTGGCCGCGTCCTGAAGAGGGGGGAGGAGGGAAAACCACTCGACTCTTGAAGCAGGAAGGCGGCTAGAGTAGATTGGGAGATCTGGGAATCCAGAAATGCCTGCTTTCAACGACCGACGGGTAGTCATCACCACCCTCTTGGCCGCCCCCGAGAAGAGGAGGAGGGCGGGAGCAGGGCGGGCGGGGGGGGAGGGGAAGGGGGCACGCCCTGTGGCCCCCGAGAGGCTGTGCGCCCGCACGAGTGGGGGCCACGGCGGCGCGCGTGGCGAGACCCCGGCCAGGAGGTCCGACCCCTCCCCCTGCCTGGTCTTCGGGCGGGCGTGTCCTCCTCCAGGCGGATGCTGAAGGAAAAAGTGGAGAACTGACAACAAGAAGGAGTCAAAACATAGTTGGAAAATCGTCCCCTGGTTATCTTTTACTGTTTTTGGAGATTCCTCCTGTAGGGAGAGACATGCCCGACTTGACCCTGGTCCTCCCCCACCCCCCCTCGTTGTCGCTCCCCGAAGGTGGAGGCCTCCCCAAAATGGGGTCCGAGCAGATGGGGCTGGCGATGCATCGGCGGCGCGGGTGCGGAGACGTTCGGGCTCCACATCGAGCCGCATCGCCGATGCATCGGCGATGTGGTGCGATCCTCCGACGCCATCTCCTCATGTCGGAGGCATGGTCCGTGGGTTCCCCTTGGAAAACAAAAGGGTACCGAGACCGCTAGTCTCTGGAACTCCCCCGCGCTCTGGCAACGGATTTCGAGGCGAATCCAGCGGTGGCGATGAGGACCTTCCAGGAGGCCAACACAGGCGAACACGAGAGAAGGGTAGCGGTATCGGAAACTTTCTCGCCTCTCATTCACCGCGCCCCCCGTCCGACCTTCCGGCAGGGGCCAGGTTCCAGAGGCACCAGGCCGCGAAAAGGTGCACCCCCAACCTGGTGTCTGACACTCCGGGCTCGGGAACAGGCGGCACCCAAGGGCTACGGCTGGGCGAGCGTCTCGTCTTCCTCGTCTCCAGAACCTCTGGGGACCTCCTAGACTCCCGTCCTCCCTGAAGCTAGGATCCCCGTAGGACGCGATTCTACTGGCACTGCTGGCCCTCTCAGGAGCTCACGAATGTGGCGCCAGCGGCGCAGTTGGCAGCAACTGGGGATGGCGAGGCCTCGCTTGATCCCCTGGGGACCCCACCCTGCTAACCTCCCTGGAGCTCACGAAAGTGACGCCAATGGCGCACTTGGTGAACACCCAGGGAGGGCGAGATCTCACTTGGATCCCCGCAGGACGCCACTCCGCTGGCCCTCCCAGGAGCTCACGAAAGAATGCGCCAGTGGCGCAGCTGGCAGCAGAAAGGGAGCCGGTGAACCAGCAAAGAGGAAGCAATCAGGTAGCGAGGAGGAAGCGCGCAGGGGCGGGAGCGGGAAAGAACGAGATGGCGGCAGCAGGAAGTGCTCCATTCCAAACAGGCACCCAACCAAGGAGGGTTGGAAGTCGCGCCTCGATCATATCTGAAATTTATCCCCTAACCCCCATCCTAACGTCGACCCCTGGGGTCTCGATCCACTCCCCGGGACTAGCTTTGCATCCTGGCTCGATGGTTGACGGTCCGGGGGACTGGTAAGAGTAGGGGGAAGGCCAAAAACAAGCAGAAGCATCCCGCCGTGTTTTTTGCTTCTTGACGCCAGCGTGTCTGGATCCCTCGCTCCGCATTGTGAGCAGGGACCGACCGTCCCAGCTGTTCTGTAGGCCCACCACGGACGAAGATCCCTAGAACATGGAACAGATAGGTCACTACAAGACTGCCTCAAGCATGTATGGTCTGAGAACAGTTCGTGGGACGCACGAAGACATACTAGTGCTAGATGTTCTCCTTAGAGGCGCGCGTCCGACCCGAACACATTGTATACCCATCTTGTACAGGAGTATCGTTGCCCGAGCGGTGTGGCCAGAAAGCGCCCGCCTCGGCGCACATACTACAAGAGTCCTCTGTGCGCGCGTCGCCCCCAGGGGGGCGACCCACACATGGTTTTAGTATGTTGGAGGTGGCGCCGATTTCGCGCAAAACGCACAAGGTTCTTGGAACACTCCCTGATGGGCCTACCGGCAGGTCAGTAGGCTTCGCCGCTGCTTGACTTAGGTCGGGCACGTCCTCCTGCAGGGTGACTCGCTCGGGAAGACCAGCTACGCCAAAACGTAACAAAAAAAAAAAAAAACATCCCCAGACACTGGTGTGACGATTCTCGAATGTGCCTCCTGTGGAGGGACACGCCCGACTGGACTGCCTGCCTCGTGGGGCCTCTGGCCGAGGTGCTCGCCGGGCCGCCCCGTGGGCCCAGAGCGACGGCGCCCAGGCCTCCCCGAGAGGGGCCGCCGCCCGGTCCCCAGCCCCCGATATCGTCTGGGCCTCGACCGCCTTCACCGCGGCCTCGCCCGACGACGACGACGACGACGACGACGACGACGACGACGACGACGACGACGGCAACGACGACGACGACGGCGACGGCGACGGCGACGGCGACGGCGACGGCGACGCGAACAACTGCGGCGACGGCGACGAAACGACGACAGGGAACCACGGCGCGACGGAACGACGACAGCGGGGGGGGGGGGAACAGGGGAGGAGGGAAGGGGACGGGAAGCGAGGAAGGAGGTTTGCGGATGGGCCCAGGTGATTTCAGAAGTCTGCGTCATTATGCTGAAATGTTCGGCGGTGTCTTGTCAGAGCGGGAAGTTTGAAGATCTTGCTTTCCTCTACAGGAATGGGGGAAGAAGGAGGGAAGGGGGCAGCATGCAGGAGGGAGAGGAAGTGGGAGCGGAAAGGGAGGAGAGAGGAGGGAGCGGAGAGGGAGAGGAGGGCTTCAAGGGGCGCTGGGGGGGGGCCCAGGAGACTCCGCGACGCCCTGAGTGCGTATAAGAAGATTGCAGTGTTCCGCGAGCCTTCCCCACTCCGCCCTCCGTCCCTCCGTCCCTCCTCCTCCTCCTCCTCCTCCTCCTCCTCCTCCTCCTCCTCCTCCTCCTCCTCCTCCTCCTCCTCCTCCTCCTCCTCCTCCTCCACTCCTCCTCTCTCCTCCTCCTCCTCCTCCTCCTCCTCCTTCCTCCTCCTCCTCCTCTCCTCCTCCTCCTCCTCCTCCTCCCTCTCATCCTCCTCCTCTCCTCCTCCTCCCCCCCTCCCCTCCTCCTCTCCTCCTCCTCCTCCTCCCTCCTCCTCCTCCTCCTCCTCCTCCTCTCCTCCTCCTCCTCCTCTCTCTCCTCTCTCCTCCTGGACTCCTCCTCTCCCTCCTCCTCCTCCCCCTCCTCCCTCCTCCTCCTCCTCCTCCTCCCTCCTCCTCCTCCTCCTCCTCCTCCTCCTCCTCCCCCTCCTCCTCTTCCTCCTCCTCCCCCTCCTCTCCCTCCTTGGAGACTGCCCAGAGGATCCCGAGCTCCCCGATGCACAGCCGACGCATCGGCGATATGCGGTGGGACCCGCCGTGCAGCCGCCTTCTCCTGGGCCCCGCGTGGGCGGCCCCCAGACACCGCCACTCCCGCGCCGCGCCGACGACAAAACAGCGAGGACGACGACGATGCCGACCACTACCAGGACAACGACGCAACGTGCACGACGCGAACAACGCCAACGCGACGTGGACGACGGGAACGACGACGGCGCGACGCGGACAACTACGACGGCGACGGCGACGGCGACTGTGACGACGACGACGACGACGACGACGACGACGACGACGACGACGACGACGGCGACGACGGTGACGGCGACGGCGACGGCGACGGCGACGGCGACGGCGACGGCGACGGCGACGGCGACGGCGACGGCGACGGCAACGGCGACGGCGACGGCGACGGCGACGGCGACGGCGAAGACGACGACGGCGGCGGCAACGACGACAACGACGACGAGGCCTTGCCGTCGTAGTTGGGGGTTTCGCCGACTTGACTGACTTGCGGGCCGGTCGAGGGTGTCGTTTGTGAGTTCCAGGGCCTTTCTGGCCAGGGCGTATCCGGATAGTTTGTGGGGATGTGTCGAGTTTGGGCCGTCGTCGTCGCAGTTGGACCGGGCGGGGTTGGGGCCCACGCCCACGCTTTCGAGCGGCGGCTGGGCAGAAGGCGACTGCGCTGGCAATGAGTGGCATGAACGGGGGTGCCGTTGGGCCGAATTGTGCCAACGTGCAGTAGGAAGGCGGAGGGACGCGGCCGAAGGAAAATGAGGCAGGGGCGGGCGGCTCAGGGGTCAGCACGCTCCCCGAGCGTGTGGCGTCGCTTTGAAAAAAACACATGTAGATGGCCTCAAGGCGGGAGCTGCTGGAACCGCTCGGGTCGGATGAGAGACAGGGCAGCTCATTCAGGGATCAGCAGCCCAGCTCACGGAGCTGACTCTCCAGGGACCTGGCGTGGCGGCGCGTGAAGCGCCAGCGCATCGCAGCAGGCGCCCGACGGCGGGGCCGAAACAGCTGCACGCAGCAGATGTCATACCCGCCCTCCCCCCGCAGAGGTTTTAGCAGTGCCCGTATACTTGAGATGCTCTACTGACTTTCGATACCAACGCTCATGGTTCACTTTTCTCTTGTGATGTAGAATCCACAGGTGCGATGCCATAGAAGGCGCAAAATGAATGAAGCACGCCTTCGCCAAGACATTAACAACGCATCTGCAAATGACCATGGTTCCTGCACGTAATTGCAAGACTATCGAGGCAGCGCGCTGGTCAGAATCAGTACCAGCCCGGGGAATGCCACCGAGGTTAGGTTTAATATGGCTACCATTGCGACTCAAAAAGATGCAACAGATGAAGTACATGACATGTCATTGTGGAGCGGAAATATGTATGAGATGAGTGAATCCCGCCGCAGGAAGGTGTCAACGCGCAGGCGTTCCTCATTCCTCCTGCACCGTGCCCTCGTCACTATCATGCTCTTCCGCCATCCTCATATAACCTCTTCGGAGAAGGAATGGCATGCACTGTTTATGCGAATCCACGCGCATCTTCGGCCATCCTCCCCCAGCCACATCATCAGCAAGGGTGAGCGCGAGGAAGGGAAGGGGGGGAGGAGGCGACGGCGATAATGATGATGAGGATGATGGCGAGGACGGCGATGAGGAGAAGGATCGGGATGAAAAGGGAGAGTCAGGATCCTGGGAGATATGATCGAAAAGTGAGAGAGTCAGATGAAGGATCAGAAGTGACGTCGTTTTCCTCCTTCGGAGAACGGGCAGGTGCATTTGCGATCGCATCAAGGGCGAGCGCGAACAGGAGGGAAGGGACAGGCGGCAATAACCATGATAATTGTGATTGCGATGATGATCACGACGCTGATGATGACGATGGGGATGGGGGCTCGATGGAAGGAGTCAGAAAGTGGAGGCCGTCGATGGTATGGAGGATGCGCTGAAGAGGGAGTCCGAAGTGACGCGCGGTGGATGATGATGCAGAGTATGACCCCTCTTCCATCTCTACACACCTCGTTACCACTGGACAAATGATGAGAGATGCCACGGGGGGGGATAGTCATGCCCACCCTACCCCCATACCTACCCGCCCCCGTAATCATCCACCTGCCCCAGGCTCTTCCAGAACGTCCTCTTCCTTGTGTGTCCTGGGAGGTCCTCACGCGCCCCTGTTCCACATCACACCCCTCGCCCCCATCTCAACTTCCACTTGCCCGTCCTCGCACGTTCACCTGGTCAGAGCATGAAAGGGGGAGGGCAGAGGCGGGGAATGGGGATGGAGGGCGAGCGGGAGACGACTCCGCATCGATCGTGTTATCCTCACCGCCATCCTCCTTCCAACCCCTCCATCGCCCCCCATCCTCATCGCGCACCCCCGTTTCATCCGGCGGAACGAAGAGGCGCATGGGGGAGGGAGAGATGGAGACGCATGGTGGCGAAGAGCAGGAGCACTCGTTCAATGGCTACTCGCTCCTCCCCGTCATCCGAGGACGCGGAGGGAAGGAGGAGGAACCAACGACGACAAATTGTTTGTTTCATCATGATCATCACCCGCCTTCGGGGGAGGGAAGAAAAAGAACCAATGAGGATAATTAATGGAACGGGAGGAGGAGGACGAGGATGACGACGATGGCGATGATGGTCAATATGCGAAGGAGGAGGACAGGGGAGCAGGACAAGAACGAGATGGGGGGAGATGACGACGGAGAAATGGAAGGAAAGAGAAAACGGCGTGGGAAGAGATCACGGAGAGCATAGAGAAAGGGAAGACCAGGATGAGGAATATGAGGACGAGGACGCCGAGGGAGAGGTAGGAGAGATGAAAGAACACACGTAGTGCACGCAAGAGCACGGCCCAGAGGAACACCTATAAATCAAACCGGGCGGGTGGATCATACTACAAACGTATGCCCTTTGTGGCGGCCGTACAGCAAATGTCCGTTTGTAGCGGCCTCGCAACATGAGTCCTTTTCGTGGCGGCCTTGCCAAATCTTTCGTGGCGGCCTTGCAAAGCAAAAAAACTGTTGTGCGGCGGCCTTAAAACAGATTCGGTCTACGGCGGCCGTGCATAACGATGTCCTGCTCAAGCGGCGTTAGAAAAGGATTATTCGCGCGACGGGTTTACACATAGTTCTTGTTGAGGCGGCATGGCCCAAAGATGTCCTTTTGTGGCGGCCTTACATCGGAATGCTCCTTGTAACGGCCTTAGACAACCGTTCCCAGCTCAACGACCATACTAACGGATCTCCTTTAGTGCAGACTTGCAAGATGACTCCGTTCTGTGGGGGGCCTTGCGCCAAGAGTTTCATCTGAACCCGCCTTGCTGAAAGGAGTTGTCTGTGGCCGCCTTAAACAAGAACTTAGTTTGTGCATCCTTGCAAACGAATTTCTTCTGGTGCGTCCTCACAGAAAACATCCTTGTGGCGGCCTTACAAAATTGTTTCCACGGTGGCAGCCTGACAGAAGAATTCCCATTGCTGCGACCTTGCAAAACGATATCCTTTTGTAACGGCCTTTCTGGAAGACTCCCTTTCGTGGCGGCCTTACAAATGGAAGTCCTCTTGTGACGGCCTTACAAAAGGATTCTGGCGGCCTTACAATAGGATTGTCTTTGTGGGGCCTTATCGGAGGAATACGATTGTGGCGGCCTTACTAAATCATGGCCTGATCCAACGAAGCTGTGACAACTAATGTGTGTTCAATACTCGTGGTGCCGAAGTCTGCAAAAAAATATATGAAACACAATATTTACACGGAGCTCCAAAAAGAATTCAAACACAATGGTCTCAACCACCAGAGCTGCGACACAATGTAAAATACAATGTTTTCAGCCATCGAAGCTTTACAGCGTCTCGCAGCTCCGCTGGCTAAAAACGCTGCGTTACAACGTTCGGGGGGGCCCGATTGCATTTGAAAGCTCCGATGGCTCAAACATTGTTTGTTTCACTGTTTCAGCCTCTGGCACTAACAAATTCTTGAAGACTCCTCAGCTTTTAATACTTCATTGGACTTTGATGATCAATACTTGGTTTTGTTTCTTTCCTTCATTTCCGTCTGTATCACCTACAAAAGAAAATCCTTTGGTAAGGCCGCCACACAAAAGAATCCTTGCGCAAAGCCGCCACACTGGAAATCCGTTTGCAACGGCGCCAAAACAATCTTTTTGGTCAAACCGTCACAAAAAGGTTCCGGAATTCCTTTTGTCAGGCCGCCGAAAAGGGGAAGCCTTGCCTAAAACCACCACAAATGGAAATCCTGTTGCAAGGCCATTCTGACAAGACATCCTTTTGGAAGGCCGTCGCAATAGGAACCCTTTTGCAAGGCTGCGACTGAGGAAAATATGTTGTAAGGCCGCCACTGCGAGGAAGTCCTTTTCGAAGGTCTTGAAACACAACATGCTCGGGTGAACTTGCATGGCAGGTAGCCAGTTAACCTAAAAGCTGCATGTTCCAGGGCACTCGTATAAAGCCATTGCCCCCCCTTTCGTCCGGCCCGAATGATCCTCGTCGTTGGGTCTTCGGGTCATAACTCGGGTCTCCAGCGGCTGTTCGGGACGACCCGGGCACCTCCAGAACGCTCTCGGCGAGAAGCGGATCCTGGAGAGCATCACGAGGGTGGAAAACCGCCAAGAGCCGACGACGACGCCCGAGAGCCTCGAGCCCCGAACCAAAGCGACGCCCGACCCGACCCGGGGGATACAAAAAGGTACCGATGCCGCTGCTCCCCAGACGCCTCCTGGGGTGCGTTCAGACCAGGATTTCGAGGCGAATTCAGCGGCGGCGACGAGGGCCTCCCAGGAGGCCCAAGAAAACAAAGACGAAGCGAGGGTGGCGGCATCGGTGCCTTTACCCTCCTCTCAGACCTGCCTCCAAAGGTCACCAGACATGACTCTGCACACAGAGGAGCCCAAGACGGCGAGCAGGCACGACGGCGCCCGCGGCCTGGTCCCCCGGGGCCGCGAGCGAGCGCATCGCGGCGACGGCCTCCCAGCGCAGGTTCCACGCCTCGGTGAGCAGGGAGAAAGAAACGCACCACCACCACCACAACCACACCACCACCACCACCACCACCACCACCACCACCTGGCAGGCAGAGGTTGGTCAGGGGTAATGGCGGTGGTGGTGGTGGTGGTGGTGGTGGTGGTGGTGGTGGTGGTGGTGGTGGTGGTGGTGAAGGTTGTGGTGGTGGTGGTGGTGGTGGTGGTGGTGGTGGTGGTGGTGGTGGTGGTGTGGTGGTGGTTGTGGTGGTGGTGGTGGGTGGTGGTGGTGGTGGTGGTGGTGGTGGTGGGGGGGGGGGGGGGGGGGGTGGTGGTGGTGGTGGTGGTGGTGGTGGTGTACAGCGGGACCTAAAACAGAAGACCATCCTTCAAGAACATGAGACCCTCCGCCAGCCAAAACAAGCAGAACATCCTAGGGTATCCTCCCCAGGACGCACAAAAAAAACAACAAGCACGAAGAACCTTAGAGAATCCGCCCCGAAGCGGCCTCGATCTGAAACCACGGTCCGACTGTGTGTCGTTTCGGGCGCTCTCGCGAGGCATCGTGCACACCCGCATCCCGCACACCAGCTCCTGAATCACCCCAGGTGGTGGCGGTAGTGCGGTTCATGCTTCCGAGGTGGGTGCATGCTCTGCTACGTCTTCGGGGGACCTCGTCTGCCCCAAGCCTCCCGTGTCGAACCCGCATCGAGAGCATGTCAAACGCGTCGAATCCGTGTCGGATCCACTTTGAACGCATGTCGACTCCGAGCCGAACCTGCGCCAGACACGAGAGAAGACCAAAAGTTGCAGGACAGGCAGGGTCCCCCTTGAAGATGCAACGTCAGGCGTGGACAGACGAGGGGGGACGATGGGCAGGACTGCGCCAAATCGAATCGCGAAATCGGACCGGGTCGGATCGGGAACGAACCGGATCGCCGAGGATCCTGCCCCGAATCGAACTGGAGTCGGATCGCCGCGCCTGGATCCTGCTGGCCCTGGCCGCTGGCAGTGAACCGAGCCAGATCACACCGAATCGGAGTCGCGGGCCAACGCCACAAAGCGAATCGCACCCTCTCGGTTCGCAGGCGGCCCTGATAGGGGAGGACTGGCCCATTGGGGGGAGGCATTGGTTTTCAATCGTGGGAGGCCCGGAAATTGGCACCAACACCAACACAGGGGGCTGCCTCCACAGGGGGAAGATGATCCTCGATTTCGGTGTTGGTGGTAATATCTCGGTCACTTTGGGAGCCAGAATATTACCACCATCACCGAGATCGGGATCCTCTTCCCTCGGTGGAGGAACACCGCCGATCTTGGAGTCGGTGTCAACCTCTGGGCCTGCGAAATCGGTGATACCTCGCCGACGGATGCCGTCGATGGCGAGCCCGCGTGCTCCTGCACGGGAGAGGGGGCCCAGGCCCCGATGTGCGACGGAAGGGGCGACGGGGGGCCGACGCCTCTCCGCTCGGGGAGGCACCGCGGACCTCCTCGCCGCGGGGGGCATGGACGGCGGGTGTCGCGGCGGAAGCCGTGCACGGCGACGCGAAAAATCGAGACCCTACCGAACCGATACCGAACAGAGGGAAGAGAACTATGCACACACACACACCGATTCTGGCCAGGCCCATACTGAGCCCAGGATCGGTGCATACGCCCTCTTACCTTGGCTAGGAAGGTATATGCACCGACCCTGGGTCAAGGATGGGCGTCGTCCGGATCGGTGCATGTGCATAGTTCTCTTCGCCCGACTGAAACCGCATTACCGAGCGAAACCGACAGCTCGCAGGCAGGCGGGAAGGGCGCAGCGAAACAAGCACCGACACCAACAACCGACCGAACCGAGCCGACCCGCCGCCACCGACCCCGGCGCAGCCGAACCGACCGCGCGGGCACCCTTTTGCGAGGAAGGGAGTGTCCCAAATCCACCGCCCTGGGGAACCGATGTCCTGGGGACCCAGGGGCGGTGAACATGGATAATGGTATGCAGTTGGGCCCCAGAGGGGGCCACGTCAAACGCCTCCCGAGGTCTGAGAAGATCGGGATCCCAGGCGGTGGGCATGGACAAATCCCAGCCTCGGACCCAGGGCCCCGCACTGTGAGCCGCAGCGTCGGGCTTCTGGGTCGCCGCCCCGGGGCGGCTCGGTGCGCGGACACCCCCAGGAACGCTGTCGACGAGACGCGGCTCCCGGGACCGACATCGCGAGGCGGGAGACCTCTCAAGGGTATGCTCCTCCCCCTCCCTCCGAGAGAGACCAATATTAGAGGGTTGGAAATGGGCACCGACACCAACACAGGGGGTTGCCTCCACAGGGGAAGATGATCCTAGATTTCGGTGTTGGCGTTAATATTTCTGTCACCCTGGAAGCCAGAATATTACCACCATCACCGAGATCGGGATCTTCTTCCCTCGGTGGAGGCACACCACCGATCTTGGTGTTGGAACAATACTCTCTGAAACTATTGGATCCGGCAAGGCCCCGCAAGCGGACGCGGCAGTTCTGGTCGAGGGAATCGAACGAGCACGCTTAGAATGCATGCGCACAACATACCATGGCAGTGGATAGGTGTTGCTGCCATTCTGGCAGAAGTCTGAAGAGGCGTGTGAACAGCCGAACGCGCGGATTTCGCCTCGTTTGCTCATATGTGTGTGCGCGCACACGGCTGCTCACTCACCCTCCTTGGGGGCCAAAACCGGTGCGGTGACAGACCGTGCCGTGATCTCGGTCACCGCACGGTTATGGGACCCCGGAGGCCCCAGCCGCCCAAAACATCCTCGGAGAATGACCCAGGTCCCTAAACCGTACTGTGACCCCGACTCCAATCGGGAAACAAACAATGACAGAAACAGAACAACTCAGAGGCCCGCGCGGATTTCTCGGATCGGCGCTGGACACCCCTCCTTGGCGCGCGGAGCGCGCCAGGGGCGTCGCCGCTAGGGGTCTGCGTCGCCGATCCGAGAAACGTGTGCGGACCGCAGCGTGTTATGTTTATGTCATTCCTCGTTATCCAAACAGATCTTGCAGCGAGCACATCATCATCATCATCATCATCATCATCATCATCATCATCATCATCATCAGCATCATCATCATCATCATCATCATAATCATCATCATCATCATCATCATCATCATCATCATCACCATCATCAGCATCATCATCATCGACATCATCCTCATCCTCATCAGCATCATCAGCAGCATCATCATCATCAGCAGCAGCATCATAATCAGCATCATCATCATCATCAGCAGCAGCAGCAGCATCACCATCATCATCATAATCATCATCAGCCGCATCATCAGCATCAGCATCATAATCATCATCAGCACCAGCATCAGGACAGTCATCATCAGCATCGTCGTCAGCATCAGTACCAGCATCATCATCATCAGCAGCATCAGCATCAGCATCATCACCATCATAATCATCATCATCGTAATCATCATCATAATCAGCAGCATCAGCATGGTGATCAGCATCATCATCATCATCATCATCATCGACATCATCATCATAATCACCATCATTAATACAATCTACAGCATCAGAATCATCATCATCAGCATCATTCTCATCATCATAATCAGAATCGGCATCAGCTTCAGCATCAACATAATCAGCATCAGCAGCGGCATAGTCTTGATCAGCATCATCAGTATCATGCTTATCATCATCACCAACATCATCATAATTATCATCAGCAACAGCATCAACATCATCATCTGCATCATCATAATCATCATCAGCACAATCAGCAGCATAATCGTCACCATCATCAATGTGATCATCATCAGCAGCAGCATCATAATCATCATCATCATGATCATCATAATCAGTTTTTCATCATGATCAGCATCATCGTCATCATCATCAGCATCATCCTCATCAGCATCAGCATCAGCATCATCAATGTCAGCATCAGCATCAACATCAGCATGATCATCATCATCATCATCGTACTGATCATAATAATGTTCATCATCAGCATCAGCATGAGCATCATCATGAGCATCAGCATCAGCATCAGCATCAGCATCATCATCAGCAGTACCATCATCATCATCATCATCATCAGCATCAGCATCAGCATCATCATCATCGTCCTGGCCATCATAACCATCAGTATCATTACCATCATCATCAGCATCACCATCAGCATCAGCATCAGTACCACCATCATCAGCAACAGCATCATCATCAGCAAAGCATCATCATCATCATCCGCATCAGCATCATCAGCATCAGCAGCAGCATGATCATCATCAGCATCATCATCAGCATCAACATTATCGCCATCATCATCAAAATCAGCATCCTCATCGGAATCAGCATAATCATCAGCGTCATCATCATCATCGACAGCAGCATCAGCATCAGCAGGATCATCATCATCATCATCATCATCATCATCATCATCATCATCATCATCTTCATCATCATCAACACCAGCCGCATCATCATCATCATTATCATCAGCATCCGCAAAACCATCATCATCATCATCAGCATGAATATCAGCATGGTCATTGTCATCAACATTATCATGATCACCACTTCGCATAATCGTCAACATCATCAGCATCAGTGTCAGCATCATCACCATCATCATCCGAATCACCATCATCATCATCAGCAGCATCATCGTCATTACCATCATCAGCATCAGCATCATCATCATCATCAGCAGTATAAGACTCAACATCATCATCAGCGTCATCATCAGCATCAAAATCATCAGCATCATCAGCAGCATGAGCAGCATCAGCATCATAATCATCATCATCAGCATCAGCTTCATCATGAGCATCATCATCATCATCATCAGCATGATCATCATCAGCATCATCCTCATCAGCAGCAGCATCATCAATATCAGCATCAGCAGCATCAGCATCAGCAGCATCATTATCATCAGCATCAGCATCATCAACATCAGCAGCATCAGCAGCATCAGCATCAATTTACCATCATGATCAGCATCATGATGATCATCAGGATCATCATCATCACCAGCATCATGAGCATTAGCAGCTTCATCATCAGTGTCCTCATCATCAGCCTCATCAGCATCAGCATCAACACCAGTATCATCAGCATCATCATCAGCACCAGCATCAGCATCATCAGCATAAATCAGCATCGTCATCCTCGTCATCATGGTCATGATCGTCGTCATCAACATCTCCATCAACATCATCATCATCAACATCATCATTATTATCAACAGCATCAACATCATGATCATCATCATTAGCATCAGCATCATCAGCCTCATCATCAACAGCATCAGCACCATCAGCAGCATCAGCATCCTGAGCAGCATCATCAGCATCATCAGCAGAACGGGCATCATCAGCATCATCATGATCATAATCATCAGCTGCATCAGCATCTGCATCACCATCATCATCATACTCATAATCAGCAGCAGAATAAGCATCATCAGCATCAGCGACAACATCATCATCACCAGCATCATCATCATCAGCAGCATCAGCATCATCATCGGCAGCAGCATCATCATCAGCATCATCATGATCATCATCATCATCAGCAGCATCATCATCACCTTAATCAGCATCATCATCAGCATCAGCGTCAGCAGCATGATGCTCATCAGCATCAGCATCATCAGCATCAGCGTCAACAGCATCAGCATCATCAGCATCATCATCAGCATCGTCAGCATCAGCATCATCAGCATGACCATAATCAACAGTATCATCATCTGCGGCATCGTCAGCGTCATCATCATCAGCATCATCAGCATCATCATGATCGCCATCATCAGTATTATAATCAGCATGATCATCATCAGCAGCAGCATCAGCAGCATAATCGTCAACATCCGCATCACCATCATCATGAACATCAGCAGCATAATCAGTCATCATCGGCAGCATGATCAGCATCATCATGACCATCATATCCCAGCATCGGCATCATCATCAGCATCATCAGCAGTCTCGTCATCATCATCGGCGTCATCATGATCATCATCATCATCTTAATCAGCATCATCATCATCATCATCAGAAGCCACAGCAGCATTAGCATCATCAGCATCATCATCATCAGCAGCATCATGAACAGCATCATCGTCATCTTCATCAGCATTATCAGCAGCATCATCATCAGCATCATTATCATCATCATCATCACCATCATCATCATCATCAAAGACATCATCGTCAGCATCATCAGCAGCATCATCAGTAGCATCATCATCAGTGGCATCATCATCGTCACCACCATCCTAATCATCATAAGCATCAGCATCATCAGCAGCATCCTCATCACAATCATCATCGTAATCATGATCATCAGCATCATCGTCAGCATCATCATGATCATAAGTTCTCATCATCGTAGTCCTCATAATAGGCAGCATCACCATCATGATCAGCATCATCTTAATCATGATCATCA